TAAGGAATGGTGTCCCTAGCCTCTGTTTGTCAGAGGGTGGAGATGGATGGCAGGAGAGAGAGAGAGATCACTTGATCTGTTAGGTTCACTCCCTCTGGGGCACCTGGCATTGGCCACTGTCGGTAGACAGGATACTGGGCTAGATGGACCTTTGGTCTAACCCAGTACGGCCATTCTTATGTTCTTACTGAACATCGGAGAAGCCACACGGGTGAGCGCCCCTAGATAGTCCAAGCATGTATGGGGATATTCTACTGTGTGTGTTCTCTGATGCGTAATATGGTTTGCTCTCTTAATGTAACTTTTTCCACAATCCAAGCATTTATGTTTCTTGTCTCTTGTGCATTGTCTGATGTTGCATAAGGTCCAATCTCTGGATGAAACTTTCCCCGCATTCCAAGCAGGTGTGGGATCCGTCTCTTGTGTGAGTTCCCTGATGTCTGGTAAGGTTTGACTTCCAAATGAAACATTTCCCACAATCAAAGCATTTATAAGGTCTCTCACCAGTGTGGATTTTCCCATGTTTACGAAGGTTTGAGTTGTTATTGAAACTTTTCCCACAGTTCAAGCATTTGTAGGGTCTCTCTCCCGTGTGGGTTCTGTGATGCTTAGCGAGGTCTGAGGTGCTACTGAAGCTTTTCCCACAGTCCAAACATTTATGGGGTTTCTCTCCTGTATGGATCTTCTGATGTGTAATAAATGATGACTGCCAATTGAAACATTTCCCACAGTCGAGGCATCTATAGGTTCTCTCTCCGGTGTGGATTTGCTGATGTGAAGTAAGATATGAACTCTGGCTGAAGCATTTCCCACAGTCCAAACATTTAAAGGGTTTCTCTCCTGTATGGATTCTCTGATGGGCAACAAGGGTTGATCTCTGTGTGAACGTTTTCCCACAGTCCAAGCACTTATGGGGTTTCTCTCTTGTGTGTGTTTTCTGATGTCTAATAAGGTCAGATCTGTGCATGAAACTTTTCCCACAGTCCGAGCATTTATGGGGCTTCTCTCCTGTATGGGTTCTCTGATGTGTAATAAGGCTTGACTTCCAATTGAAACACTTCCCACACTCAAGGCATTTATAGGGTCTGAATCCCGTGTGAATTGTCTGATGTATTGCGAGGTATGAGCATCTAGTGAAGCTTTTCCCACACTCCGAGCATTTATGGAGTTTCTCTCCTGTGTGGACTGTCTGATGCCTAACAAGCGTTGACTTCTGATTGAAACATTTCCCACAATCAAGACATTTATAGGGTCTCTCTCCGGTGTGGTTTCTCCAATGAGAAATAAGGTTTGTACTCATATGAGATCTATTCTCAATATTGGGGCATTTATAGGGTTCTTCTTCCTTTTGACTTGTCTGCTGGACTGTGGTTTCCTTGGGATCCTTGCATCCTGCCCCACAATCAATGGATTCATCCACTTTTGTCACTTTTCCCAGCTGTTTTTCTGACCTGCCCCGATTTCCCCAGGCTTCTCCCTGTTCCAAGCACTGGGAAAAATTCCCTTCAGCTCTTCTCAAAAAGGTCCCCCATGGTTCCACTTCCCCGGGAACTTCCCACTGTTGATTGTTCTCCTCATTCACACGCACTCTCTCAGCACCTGCTGGGAGAGAGAATCCAGACATGAGTCACTGCCTGTGCCGGGGAGAAAGGGGAATAGCAAAAACGGAAAACTCAACACAATAAAGGTGGGGAGATGGAGAAATTGGATTCTCTCTCCACATCCCCATGCAAACACTCACTGGGAAGTAAAATCAGGAAGGAAACTCCTGACAGCTAACAGGGTGGGTGGGAGACGGTGTGTGATATCTGACTACAGCCTGATCTGGGGGAGATGAGGAAGACCTCACAGCACATTTTTGGGAGTCGGAGCTTTTTCCTTCAGATGGTTTTCGTGTCAGTCTCACTGACTCCTCACCTGTGCGGGTACCTCTCGGGCTCTCCCTTTCCTCAGTGGCCTGGAGATCCGGGACCCACAGCTCTTCCCCTCGTTCCAGCTGGGCGATCAGGTCCGGTTTGGGAATGGGGAATCCTGCGCAGGGGGTGAAATCAGGCAAGGTTGGGGTGCATCAGATATTGGAGGAATATTTGTCACAAAACATTCCTGAGTTTAACCGGACCCCATGCTGTTCTGGGGGGACGTGGGATCTGAAGGAAGGGGGAGCATGGTCCCTGAGCCCCCTTGGGAGAGGCAAATATCTGGGGAATGGGGGTGGAGGTGATGGTTGTCAAGCCATCCCTAGGGCTTTCCGGGAGCTGGTGGGACTTGCTGAGGCTGGCTCCATCACAGCTCAGGAGTTTAACCCCTGCATATTGCAAAATATCCAGAGCCCTCCCCAGGGCTGGAGCTAGTCCCAGGAAGGGAGGGGCACTGGGATTCTGTGTGAGAGTGAGAGTTAAACCAGACAGGACAACACAGTGCTTCTGCCCCCTTGAAAATTGGAGGGATGGGGATGAATCAGCATGTGCATTAGGTTTATGACTCCCCGATCCCATAGGAGGGGGTATGCAGATGAAAGTCTCGCTCCCACACTGGAGCTGGGGACTACGTGACCACGGAAAAAACAGATTCAGAAATGCAGACCCCGCGGCTTCCAATAACCGAGGGACGAGTATCGCTTACCCAGCGAGGTCACCGTCTCATAGTTCTCCTGCATGACGTCCCTGTAGAGGGCTCTCTGAGTGGGGTCCAGCAGAGCCCCCTGCCCCTGGGTGAAATACACAGCCACATCCTCGAAGGTCACCGGCATCTGAAACAACAAGAGTTCCCCACTCAGCACCTGCTGCCCCAGCCACTATCTCAGTGTTCATGGGGGAGAAAGATCAATAAAATGGAAGCTCTAGGAGGACCAGAGGAGCAGAATCCCACCCCCACCCTGCTCAGAGCAGCCAGGAGGCTTCAGGGGGTGGGGAGGTGAGAGCTCCTTGTCCGCCCAGCAGATGGAGGTGGGCAGGGTCTTCTCATTTCCCACACGCCGGCCAGCCACAGGCTGATATGGGAAGCAGAGCTCTGAGCCGGGGACAGGGACAGGAATCCCAAGAGCTTCCCTTCGTATTTCACAGCAGCCTCTGGCTAGTGGGTTCAGGCTCCAGCACTGGGAGTCTGGTCAGTTTTCCCAGCCCTGCCCAGGGGGGTGTTTCCTGGTTCAGAAATGAGGGCATGTTCACCCCTCCTCCAACCCACCAATGGGCCTTTTCAGAAAATCAGGCTCCAAGTTGAACATGTCCCAGCAGGTTTATCACACCCTGTCCCCTCCCTGCCTCACCCTGTGTGTTTCCTGCCCCTCCCCCTCTACAGCAAACCCCACTCTGCTCCAAAGCTCCCTGAAAATCTCCTACCTGAGCTGGCTCCATCACAGGCATTTCCCTTCCCTGCCTCCTGGAGACGGGACGATCTGGGGCAAAACGCAGACGTGATTCCTCAGCCTGTCAGGGCGAGAGGGGTGATCAGGGAGGTTTCAGAAGGGGCTTGAGTCCATTTCACACCCCGATTCCCCCCAGGCTCTTTCCCTACAGACAGACGCTCTGGACTCTGCCATGCTGGGAAAACCCTCAGTCTCTTTATTACAACACAGACCCGGCCCCTCCCACCAGCACTGAACCCCTGAGACACTTTTAACCCCTCCAGGGACAGAGTCCCTAAGACAAATGCTAGAAAGGAGCAGAATCAAAGGAGCCACTTTGGCAGATTCCCCCTGACATTGCCCCTGAGGGCAGTGCATCTCCCCAGCAGGGTGGGGACTGTCTATGGCAAGAACTGGCTTTTCCTCTGTCAGCTCCTCCCCTTTTTCCCAGGAGAGTGAGTCGGCCCAGGGGGATGCAGGGAATGGATCCGGGCAGGGCTGGGAGCTGGGAACCTCCCTCCCCACTTCTTGCTCCTGCTGCCCCTTTCGGTCTCACCATTCCCCTTCCTGTCTCCATCCCTCTTCCTTCTGCCTGGGAGAACTGGGGACTGTCCCGTTCCTGTGGCATTTGCCTGGCTGTGTCACTGAGGGCAGCAGCTCTGGGAGCCACAGACCCATAGAGAGCCCCTCCCCCTCCGGTACAAACTCACCAGCAGGTCGCTGAAAGGGGCCCTTTGTGCAGAGTCACTTTCCTGCCCAGCCCCAGCCCTTTCCAAGTCCCCTGCAGGCTCGGCTCAGGGGCTGGTGTGGGCAGAGTCCGGGTCTGCCTCAGGGAGCTGATTCCAGCCACTGGAGAAAGTGCCCACCTGGGCTGGGCACGGGGGGGGGGGGGGTTAATGAAGGTCTGTCCTGGCACAGCCCCAGCTGGGGAGCAGCAGTCTCACAGTCTGGGCTCTCAGGTAGAGGAGGCAGCAGTATCTGACCCAGGCAGCTCAATTCAAGGTCTCTAACATGAGGAGCAGAGAGAGACACACACCAGCCTCCTCCTCT